GAGAGGACTGTCTTTTTCTAAAGTGAAAGGAGGACGAGTGTATGAGGGAGGGATGGGTGGTTTGGGGGAAGGACTGGGAAGAGAAGAAGGAAGGGAGGGGGAACTGTGATTGGGTTGAAAAATTAATTAATTAACAAAAATAATCATGTGTCCAATTTAATGAGTTATTACTATAATAGTGGTTCACTTTTTAATGTCCCATTGCTGAAGACATGACACACTTGAGATACAGTATTTGGAGGAATAGTGCTGTAACTGATCTCAGGAGCTTTGAATTATAGTAACATTTATTCATTGTCTTGGGAAAACCAGAAAATATACTCAGAATTCATAAAATGATACTACTTGGTTGCACTCTGAGTGATAAAAATGAAACCTGGTTCAACCTTTCTGCATTTCCATTACCTTATTGCCACACTGTTTATTCATGATGGTCATGACTTGTGTCCTTGGATTGTGTTTTCATTTACCCAGTCATCTTTTGTGTACTTTTAATCCCAAGTTTCCACAAAATCATGACAATGAGTCATTCAGCATGAAGCACATAAACTATGGAAATAAATACTCAGAAGCAGGAACATGTGTATTGTTTATATGTGTCACGGGAAACAAGTTTTGAGGTAGACATGAGTACTCAGAAGCAGGAACATGTGTATTGTTTATATGTGTCACGGGAAACAAGGTAGACATGAGTTTTTTTTATTTTAATACATGTCTAATTATGGACTAGAAAATAGGGGTCAATCTGCTTGACTATGTATCCACTGATCTTTTTATTCAGATAAAAGAAAAAGCAAGTTAGAGTATGGAAAGCATTAGTTTTTTTCTTTATAGTGCCTAATGAACTCTTAAGAGCTGTTCCATGGACAGAATCACAGAAAATGATAGAATGATTATATAAAATTTGTAACTTAAACATGTACCCTCCTTAGTATGTCAAGTTAATTTACTTTGTTTATTTTTACAAGGCATTATTAAATATTTCATACAGATGAACATTTCTCAGGGTTCTAGAGACCATATTTATGTCTGTACAATATATTACTCACACATATATGAATGTATGTAATAATGAATTAAGAGAAGAAAATTAGCGAGGTCTTGAATAAATAGAATGTTTAGAAATCAACTAGTCAAAAATTGACAGCTCAGAAATTGTTTGTTTGACTCTAAGTGGCTGGCTTCAAAGTAAATACTTAAAAGTCTTTGCCCATTTTACCACATTGTCATACATATTGATATATTATAGAGTGCAACATCCCTGGATAAAAATCCTTAATTGCCCATGTGACCAATTTGCTATTTGGATTGTCTTTAACTTTTTAATAATTAATTCATTTTAATATAACAAAAATCATTACTGGCATAGTCATTTTGTAAGGATGAAATGGTTGATAATGTAATGTTTAATGTTTACTGGTTGATTGACATAGCTTAAAGCTGTGTATGAGCTATTATTGTATTTAAATCCTCCATAAAAAATCACTGATGAGGTAAAACAAGAACTGAGATTTTAGTCAAACCCTAACTCTCTGATCTTGGTCCAGTCTTCTATCCCTGTGGCTTCCTACACTTGTCAACTATCACATATAAACCCCTGACAAAAGTAAGATATTTCTAGAGTTCCTAACAGTGTACAAAATTCTGGAGTTGCTATAGATGATTATGGAACAATGATACATGTTCTGAGTTCTCATTATATGCAAGGGCAGCAGGAAAACTTCAGAGGCTGTAAGAATCATTGGTTTCCGATGATCAATATGACAAAGCTGAATTTGAAAACCCAACAATGATTTAACACGCATCCTCAGTCAGTAAATACAAGAGCTAGGACTCACATCACCCTCTGTCCTGCTCAGTGCTCTCCTCCTTGCTCTCCTTCCGAAATCACAGCTCACAGAAATAATATACTTTCTCTTTTCATAGGCATCACCTTTCAAAATTTAGGTAAGGAAATCAAGAGATCCAACCTGTTGGCCTCAGGGATGTCCATTTCGCACTCACACTAGTGACAGAGTTGTCTTTGTGGTAGACAAAGAGGTAGAGAGAGAGAGAAAGAGGAGAGAGAGAGAGAGAGAGAGAGGAAAAAGAAACGAAGAAAAGATACTTTCTCTTTTCATAGGCATCACCTTTCAAAATTTAGGTAAGGAAATCAAGAGATCCAACCTGTTGGCCTCAGGGATGTCCATTTCGCACTCACACTAGTGACAGAGTTGTCTTTGTGGTAGACAAAGGGGTAGAGAGAGAGAGAAAGAGGAGAGAGAGAGAGAGAGAGAGAGAGAGAGAGAGAGAGAGGAAAAAGAAACGAAGAAAAAAAGCCCCTTCTTAGACAATAGAAGGAGGCCAGGGAAACTGAAAATCCATATAGGACCATAGGAATGACACTCAAACCCTTCATACAAGGAGCCCGACAGCTGCTTTTTCTTGTGAGTCAGAATAATTAAGCAGAACACAAAGTTTCTTTATTGCCAGTGTTTTCTGGGCACCTCACCACTGACCTAGAATTGGAAAAATGCTTCCACATATATTGTGGAAAGCATCAGAGAAAACCTGGTTTCACTGATATAGTTTTGCCCCTTTGTACGGGGGAGATCAGCATAAAACCCAGTACTTTTGCTAATTCCCAATGGAACACAGACACCTGGAAGAAAGAAATAATTTTTACCACCTACAGGTTTCCAATGGGAAGAGCAGAAGAGAAAGAAAACCACTGAGACCAAGAGGGGGGAAAAGATTAATAAGCACTGCCTCCGCTGCAGGAAAAAGAGATTTTTCAAAACAACAACAATAAAAAGTGCCTAGAGGACAGCTGTGTGCTGTTCTCCCTTCTAATAAAAAGGAAAAAAATGAGAAAAACAAAGGCAAAGGAGGGCTGGAAAAGAGATAACTGATATCACAGGTCAAGCTTCCTGAGTTTAAAAAATAGTGAAAAAGAACATAATTTACATGTTTAAAAACTTTTCATGACATTTATATGCACAGGTATTTGTGAGTGGATCCATGTGGAAATTATGTATCTGTGGAAAAATGTATGCTGCCTGTAAAATAGATTATACACATAGGGGTTTAAGAACTCTGAGTTTTTTGTACATTAAGAACTGCCAAGTACAGGATTTCCAAATCCAAAACCAGACTGCAAGAAGAAATACTCATTATGTTATTGAGATAGAAATAAGAAATAACAATAAGAAGTAAGCCTGTCTTATGATTCCCTGAAAATAACCAACTGTTTTTATGTCCTTTCATGTCATAAAGTACCTTTTCTCAAAATAAATGGTTGTTTTGTGTGTGTATGAATTTTAAAATGAATATGATTAATCCCATGCTTTTTTCTATAGGCATTTTCTCTTTGAAGCTGACTTAATCTGATTGTTGTCATATTTATTTTAACAAAATCATTCACATTGCTGTATTTCCCTTCTATATGATTATCCCTCATCTTAAAGGATCTGACGGAATTGTCAGTTGGGGTTTTTGTATACCTGCTAGATACGGTTTACAAAAGAACATACTCATATTCATATTCCTAATTTAAAATTGACAACCTGCCTGTCTCTCATCAACTCACCATGACAGTATCTCTGGTGATGAAAACTAGGCTGCTTGTTCCTGGCACCACTTTAAGTATCAGAATGCTAGGCTGGCTTGTTACCTCCTCTAGTTTTCAACACGATAATAACTCTAATATGTTTCATTTATCAAGGAAATATGAAGTAACTTATATGATAGTCCTAGATACTTCAAAAGATGATCCGGAAAGAAAAATAACATTAACAGTCTGTGCCTTCAGTACAGGCTTTTCTTGCTAGGCTGCCCTGAGAGCAATGCTGCAGAGAGAGGAGAGTGACACTCCAGTGATTTAATTACTGCTCCACTCCTCATTACACCTGTGGCTTAAAATAGCAAGCACAACTGCAGAGATGCCATTGTGGATAGCACACATTCACTGAAATATACACCACATTCCCACTCATAAATATAGCTCTCAATTTATTGTTGTCCCTATAGCAATGCTCTCACTTCCCTGGAAGGAGAAAGTTGTACTCAGATACATTACTGTCAGTGTTATTAGCAATTAGCATATTGTTAGGATGCCTAGCTTTTCGGTGGTGTGTTAACTATTTCACAATAGGAGTAGAATGTAGCCATCTTACATTCCTATGAATTGCCCCACAGTATAGGCTTGTATATTTGCAAAGGATATGTGAACCTTTCCTATTTCTTCTTTGTTACATAAATTGTGAATATCCATCCACTCACTAACTTTAAATGCTAACCACCTTCCCTACTATGTTGAAGCTTGCTTATTCTTAGAATTTTATTTTCTGACAATGATTGGCACCTACTTCACTGGTGCCCCTTCACTCATCATATTCCAGAAAAATTTCTTGCTAGAATAGTACATTTTTGATGCTTCTATGAACTTGAAAGTCTTTCAGATTGGCTTTCAGGCCACAGATGGCCTTGTTCTTCACTCTCCCTCTCTCTCAACTTCCCCTCGTGGTTCTCCCCTTCGCCTTCTTTCCTGGAGCTTATCATAGTACCCTTTATTCTCCATGTGCCCTTCTTTCTGCATTGTATGATGGCTACACTGCTTAACTGGTCTAGAAATTTCCAATACAGTCAATTTCTATTCCTTGTTTTGTGAACTACCCCAGCCTTTCCTTTAAGGTCCATAAGGGTAACACTTTTATTATTTATTTTGTGCTTTAATGGATATGAAATAGTCATGTTGCCTGCCACAACAGACAACATGAGTAAAAAGGACTTGCTCCTACAGTGCTTATGGTCTTACACATACATGCTCTAATTTTCTCCAATATAATCTGACTTCTCTTTATACACGTCTCCCAATGTATTTCTATTCTCATGATAATTTGTATTTTGACATATAGATTGTTTTGCTTTCTTCCTTAAATCTATGTATGCCATATATGAACACAGTCAATATTTCCCTGTATAAAATGATTCTAAGGCTTAATATTTTCAAATAAAGTCAATCATTTTTCATCTTCACATTTAATGAAGGAAGGTTTGATTGTGGCTTAGCAATAGGGTCTTGTCTTATTTTTTAAAGTGTTTTGTGGACTTCTCTGACATGTTTAAATGCCTAGAAACTGAAAATTCCAGGCACCAAGTAGATACCTCTTTTTGTATTTCTCCCCTTAGCCTTTCCTTGCAAATCCATAGATTTATTTATTTATTTATTTATTTATTTATTTGTGGTGTGGTGGCTTTAAGAAAGTAGAATTTCTTCTTTAGCTGCTCCAGGATTCAGATGAGGTATCCAGAAACCTAAGCTCATCCAGAAGCCTTTCAATGCCTGGGAATTGGAGATCACTCTTCAAAATTCTATTGTGAAGGAAGATAGCAATGTTTCATCCAAATTCAGGTGAAGGGCAATTAGATGGATAGACTTTAGCTATCCTCATTTAGCTATCCAATAGCACATTCCTCATTTTCACCAGATGCTGTAGATGTGTTTCCTTTAATTGAAACATGTCCTCCTGTAGGGAAGAGGGTCATATGCTTTAGTAAGTAAATTAGGCTTACAAGTTTCAAGAAGTAATTGAAAGGTCAGGAAGTAGAGGAAACTTACAAGAGTGGTGAGATACAATTCAAATCAGCAAACTATTACCAGACATAAATGTGTCTCTCTGATCAGCCAAACTTAAGAGAAGTAACTTTTATGACATTCCATGGGTGCTAAGAAGGATTTTCTGGTGATGGACTACTTTTGAGACAACCCCAATAATCTCTAAGATTCACTAAATCAGACATGAATGGGCTTTTTAAAATTTTTGTATGACATCGGTGCTCTGTATGAGGTCAATTGAAATTTCTTTGTCTCCCAAGAAAAATCACACAACACCTGAAGACAAATATCCTTGGATATAATATATCTGATTCATGTTTGCCACAACTCAATGGAAATATTAGTACAATAAATGTTGTTACATGGCACATTGAACTCTACATTAGCCTACCTTCACATATATGCAATACATACATGTGCATATGTGTAGTTATCCCTCACCTCATCATAGATGATACTCCAAGATCCTCAAGGATGCTGATGTCATGTTTAGTGTAGAATTCTAAATATATCTTGATTTTTCTTGTGCACAAATACTTTCTGGAGGTTTAAGTTGTAAAGTTGTTTTCATAGTACTGAGGTTAGACCACAGTGTTTTGGGTGCCCCTCCCCTGTCAGCAAGCTCTCCAGGACTGCCTTCCCCTGCTTTCTACAAGGAAATTATATTTAAAACTGTCCTTGTTTATTTCATTATTTAGTTATTTATTTACTTGTTTTATGAAAATAGATTTTATTTATTTTTTATTTAAATTCTTTAATTACTACTCATGTTTACATATCCACCCCCCATCCCCTCACCCTCCCATCCTCCCATGTTCCCCACCAACCCACCCCCCCACCTACCCCCCAAGTCCTTCCCAGGGCTCGTGAGGCACTCTACCAGGGACCTTCAAAGTCCATCATATCATTTGGGGGAGGGCCCAGGCCCTCCTTGCTGTATCTGCGGTGCAATAGTATCCTTCCATAGGAAATGGGCTCCCAAAGTCCATTTGGGCTCTAGGGATAAAGACTGGCTCCACTGTTAGAGGTCCCATAGACTGTCTTGGTCTCCTAGCTGGCACCCACATTCAGAGGGCTTGATTTGGTCCAATGCTGTTTCCCCAGCTTTATGACTAGGGTCTCCATGCTAAATATATTTTAATAAAATATGTTGACTATGGTTTTTCCTTCCCCCAGATCCTTCCCTCTTCAACACCCATGCAAATCCATACCATTTCATTCTCTCTTTCATTAGGATGAAACATTTATTTTTATTATTATTGTAAATAGACACAAACAAACAATCCAGAACAGAACAAAATGAACAAACCAACAGAAGAAAAAGCCATAGAAAAAGTTCAACAACATATATAAATACAGAGACATATATTCACATGCACAGGACTCCCATAAAAATTCAAGATCAGAAACCACAAAAGTTATGAACACATCTTAAATTGTACCTTTTCTATCATGTACACTATCTGATTGAAACCTTAAAAATATCTTTTTAAAATTTATTCTTCTTTCAGACATTACATCCCAATTGCAGCTTCTCCTCCACCTAGTCCTCCCAGTTGCCTTGTCTCCCAGATCCAGTACTTCTCCTCCATTTCCCTTCAGTAAAGAGCAGGTCTCCCAGAGATATCAACACAGCATAACAACTTACAATAAGACTAGGCAAAAACACTTATCTAAAGGCAGGAAAAGGCAACCAAATAGGGAGAAAAGAGTCCCAATAACAGGCAAAAGAGTCAGAGATACCCTTCCCACACTCCCACTGTTAAGAGTACTACAAGTACACCAAACTACACAATTGTAGCATATATGATACGGACCTAGCTCAGACCCATATCCAATTAGAATAGTTATAATATTCTCTTCACTAGGGACTATGACATATATAATCCCATAATGGTGATGATATGAATTTCATATTGTAGACTAGTCTGTAAACATAAGTAGAAAGTAGTTGGTAACTCTCATTCTGCTTGTGTCACTCTTATACAACTAGGCATGTATGGTGGTTTGAAAGAAACTGGCACCCAAAAGGAGTGGCACTAATGGAATGTTTTGCCTTGTAGTGTTGGTTGGCATGGTCTTATTGAAGGAAGTGTGTTACTATGAGTATGGGCTTTGAGGTCTCATATGCTCAAGCTATTGCCAGTCAGATAGTTTATATCCTGTTGACTGCCTATCAAGATGTAGGACTCTCCCACCATATCTGTTATGGATAAATGTTGGTGAAGGAACCTTGGTGGATTCCATGGCAGTCAAGGGTGACTGAGGTGGAGGGACAATCATGCCATGCAGACAGAGCTTACATGAGAAGTTTTACCAGAAAGGAGAGGGAAGTGAGAAAGAAAGAAAAAAGAGATAAAGAGACACAGAGACAGAGAGAGGATAGAAGAGAAGAGGGAGACAGGAAAATTCCTATCTGCCCCAAGGGAAGTGGGAAACAGGGAAAGAGAGCCGGAAAGAGAAGAGCAAAGTGTGGACAGAGAAGAGCAGGAAAGAGAGTGTAAGAGGGTGGAGGTCTTTCTTTTAAAGAGGTACTTTGCACCTGGCTGACCAGGGTACTTTCTGAGTGCATAGGCCAGCATAATGCCTAAATCCTTACAACATCTGGCTTCATGCCAACATGTCACAGCAAGACAGTAACAGACTAAACCTCTGAAACTGTAAATCATTCCATTAAAGACTTGCAGGCATCATGGTGTCTCTTCAGAGCAATATAAACCATAACTAAGATATTATGTCTTGCCAAAGCAGTCATTATTATTTTTATTTAAATTATAAACAAACTTGTTTTACATGTCAATACCAGTTCCCTTCCAACCACCCACCCCCTATCCAGTCCCCTTTCTGCAGCCCAGGGAGGATGAGGCCTTCGATGGGAGATCTTCAAAGTCTATCATATCATTTGGAGCAAGGCCTAGGCCCTCCCATGTGTGTCTAGGCTGAGAGAGGATCCCTCTGTGTGGAGTGGGATCCCAACGTCTATTAGAATGCTAGGGATAAATATTGATCTACTACCAGAGGCACCATAGATTTCAGAGGCTTCCTCACTGACACTCACGTTCAGGGGGTCTGGATCAGACCTATGCTGGTTTCCCATCTGTTAGTTTGGGGTCCAGGAGCTCCCGCTTGTTCAGGTCAGCTGTTTCTGTGTTTTTCACCAGCCTGGTCATGACCCCTTTGCTTATCACTCCTCCCTCTCTGGAAATGGTCTCCAGGAGCTCAGTTCACTGTTAACTGTGGGTGTCTGCTTCTGCTTCCATTATCTACTGGATGAAGGCTATAGGATGGCATATAAGGTAGTCAACAGTCTCATTATCAGGGGAGGTTATTTAAGGTAGCCTCTCCTCTGTTGCTCAGATTGTTAGTTGGTGTCATCCTTGCAGATCTCTGGACATTTCCCTAGTGCCAGATTTATCTTTAAACCTATAATGGCTCCCTCTATTATGGTATCTCTTATCTTGGGGTCCTCTGTTCTTCCACTGACTCAACTTTTCTGCTCCTTCATGTCCTCCTCACCCCTCCTCTTTTCCCCTTCCCTTTCTCCTAGCTCCTTCTCCTCTCCCCCCATGCTCCCAATTTGCTCAGGAGATCTTGTCCCTTTCCCCTTCTCCTGGGAACCACGTATGTCTCTCTTAGGGTCCTCCTTCTTTCCCAGCTTCTCTGGCAGTGTGGATTGTAGGCTGCTAATCCTTGGTTCTATGTTTAAAATTCACATAGGAGTGAGCACATACCATGTTTGCTTTTTGTGACTGGGTTACCTCGCTCAGTATGGTTTCTTCTAGTTCTATCCATATCCCTAAGAATTGTTTTTTCCTGGAGAGTAGTGTACATGTACTCCATTGTGTACATGTACCACATTTTCTCTATCCTTTCTTCAGTTGAGGGCAAGCCAGTCATTATACTAGCTCACAGGATTCACATCTAGGTATCTGATGCTTGATTTTCTCTTCTGATGGACTGCATAGTGCCTTTCAGATCTATAAATGCTATCTTGTATAGATGAATCCTCCAAGACTATACCAGCCTGATTTGTCTGTATTCTATGATGGAAGCATGCTATGTCTTCAACAATAGGATCTTACTTTCATGTTTTGGTGGGTAACCAGAAACAATGGTTATAACATATAATATTGAGGCTGTTCATTAGAACCTCATTGATCCATAATTTTAAAATAAGTGACACATTCCCAAGTATTAAACTGTTTATTTGTTAGCATTTTGTGTTTAGTACATGTTTGTTAATATGCTAGGGGAAACTCCAATTTAACTCTTTGCATATATGTGTATAAATGTATTTTATGGTATCTTTTTTACTCAAAATTTTTAATTACATTTCTAGGAACAATTATGTTTCCAAATGTGACTGTTTATGTACCAATATATCATTTACTAGAGATACGTTTGATTTTATTTTAACCCATTTACATAATGATCCATACAGAGATCCAGAGATGACGAAGGTACAAAGAAAATTTCATAGATAATGATGGTAAATGATATATTGTCAAAAATTTGTTGCACCTATGAACTAGCATATTCTTCCAAAAGATACTTATCTCCTCGGTAAACCCTATTTATACCATCTTCTTAACATCAACTTATCTTTACATCCAAGAACAGTATGTTGGCTGTCTTGTACTTGTATAAGTTAGTATTATTGAAGTCTGAATATCATACAAATGTGGTTCAATACCCACACTTATATATTTTCTTACTGTGCACAGTAAATGCAATATTGATTTGTAGACAATACACACGTGTGTATCCAGATATAAACATATATATGTGATTTTTTATATCTATAACTTGAAGTTTTGAATTTAAGGAAAAAATTATAGTACTTTATACCAGTGTTTGAGAGTCCTTTAAATGACCTGAAGTTCTACTTTAAGAAATTTCTGTATGTTTTTAATTTATGCTGACATTCAAGATGATCTTTCCTGAACTTTTATAAAAAAAAAATGAAAAGAAAAAGAAATCCTGATTGTGTTATCTTCAACACCTTGTCAAATGCACCCAGAACACGTTTGGATTTTGACCTCTTTTCTTTGATCTGATACCTCAGAAAGCACATAGCTTATTTTCTCATTTCAAGCAGGTAATAGGTTTTCCAAATATCTAAAGGTATGCTTCCACATGTGACCATTCTCTGGATTTCACTATCAGTTATCTCTCCACCCAGTACCTCATCATTAAGTCCATGCTTCCTGCTTTAGTTTTAGTATCTTGTTTGGAGGGCCAGTTTCAGGACTGAGCAATGAACTAACATTTGGTACTTCACAAAACAAAGCCTTAAATCTTAAGAGATTTACATAACAAAGGTTTATTTCTTATTCACATCATAGTCTGTGCTGGAAAAGATTTGGTGCTTTATCTTGGATCCATGCTGTTTCTCTGATCACAGCAAGAAAACAGAGAGCTAGAGGTTTCTGTCAGACATATTGGTGTGTTAATGGATGTGAATTGTGTCATTCACCTTTAATCCTTAGTTTGTAAACTCAGCACTCAGAAATTTTATCTATGAACATGCTGCAAAGTTAATGAATGCATGTATGTCTGTTAACAATAACAATTTCAGCAACATATATGTTTAAAATCTCTAAACATACCTTAAGATTTAAACAATGAGCACACAAGACATTATACTTTATTATACTTTTTGAATAGTATGCCTTAGTAGCTTCTCCTTTACAATCTTTCTGTTACCTACC